GGGGGGGGGGGGGGGGGGGGGACCACCCTCAGACCAAACACAACATTTCCATTTGATAAAGGGCAAATTTATTGATACACAGTGATAATACAAAAGAAACAATATAAACAATCAAGCAATTCTAGGGATGTCATTGGAGTCAAGGTACATCTGGCCTTGACAGGAGGACAAGGTACTCCTGCTTGCAAACAATAACTTCTATTTAGTGGGGCTAATGGAAACCTGGTGGGACCCTACCCATGACTGGGCAGTACACATTGAGGGGTATAGGTTGTACAGATGGGAGAGAGTAGGGAGGAAGGGGGTGGGTGGGGTTGCCCTCTATGTTAAGGAGCATTATATATCTACCTTAATCAAAATGGGATCAGAGGAGGAGAATGTTGAGGTACTGTGTTAGGATACATGGAGGTCGGGGAGAAAGGGACTTAATGGTGGGTGTCTGCTACAGACCGTCACCTTAAGTGGAGGAGCTAGTCTTGTAATTCTCAGGCCATACAGTCCAGGGACATGGTTGTCATGGGGGACCTGAACTACCATGACATCTGCTGGGGGCAGCAGTCAGCCAAATCGAACTGTTTATGTAGGTTCTTAACCGGTGTACAGGACCTTCACATAATGCAGGAGGTATATGGTCCCACTAGAGGGAATACTTTCCTGTGCTTGGTGTTGGCTATGGGGAATGACCTGCTAGGGGAACTGCAGATTTGTGGCCACTTGGGAACAATGACCATCAATCAATCGAATTCACCCATATGGCACAGGGTGGAAAAGAACAAGTTCCTCAGCCAGCGCTGGAGGAGGGAGTGGGTGAATTGGAGCCCTCTCCACCTGGGGAGGGCTCTTATACATCCACCCCACCCTCCAGCAGTGGATGAAAAAACCCCAGACTAAACTCCCTCTGCTCCCTTTCCCCCCTCCCATTCTGAAAACATCTCCAAGCCTGGGAGGCAGTGCAGACAGAAGTTACAAAAGATGCTGTGTTTTGAAATGTCTTTATCTGACCTCTCATGCAATGAGGGGTCAGATTTTCACCCTATCAGCCATTTTATAAGCTGTCTGCAGCCATGCATTTGTGTTTGGTTATGGCTATAGCCCGCTTTCATGGCTGGATCAGGTGAAAGTTGTCACTTTTGTCTGTGCTAGTATCTGTTTAGTAAGGCAGAGATTTTACCTGCACCAGTAGAGTCACTCTTCTGTCAGTTTCAAGATTGCTGAAGTTTCTGCACTAGATCTAATTTCTCTACGACAGTGCAAGCTGATGAACTGCAAACAAATAACACTTTTTCTAAAATAAATATATGGTGAATTGTCCCCAGATTGGAAGAACAGTGTGTTTTACCAACCAGCTTAGTGCCCTCAGAGTGAGAAAGGTTAAAAAATAAATGGATAGTATGTGCAAGCTTCCAAAGGATTTTATTTTATGAGATTTTTAAAAAATACCCTGGCAGAGTCTTTCCAAAGAAAAACAATGCAGTATTTTTCAGTAGTCCAGTTCTTTAAAAGGTTTTATTGCCTAATTTATTTAAGAAATTTGCCACAAAATATGAATGGGCTCTTAAAACACTGCAATTTTTTTATCAGTTAATGCTTTCAAAATACTTTTGCAGTTGATGATGGATGTCTAGAAAACACACCAGACACAGCAGAGTTCAGTAGGGAATACCAGCTGCACCAACACCTTTTTGATCCAGAGCACGACTACCCCAGTATGGGCAAATGGGTGAGTAAATCAGCCTTTAGTTTTGTTAAGTATTGAAATAAGTGGTGGGTAGGTCAAAGCTGTAAGAAGACCTCCTATTTTTTTTAAAGAGAAGAACCTGCTTCAGTTTAAAAGAAAAATAGAATCAATGGCCAAAAAAGATGGAAAAATATTATTTATAGGCAAATGAAACTAAGAGAAAATGGGAATTCATATGATGATAATGTATGTGATAAATCCAGTAATTTCACATGGATTCTATTCAAACTGCAGTTTATGCAGCAGTCTATTATATTCATACATTTATAATACAGTTTGATATAAAACCATTACATAATATGCTGTATATTATAATATAATATATATTAATCTATAATATTAAGATGTAGTATCTATTTAGCACAGAATTTCCAATGTTAAAATTGTTTAGGTGTTCCTCTCAGTGTTGTAAGATATAACTTGACTTAGGCTCTGTAAGGCTCTGTAAGTGTCTAACTCAGTTTTGTAGGTTGTAGCCATATTGGTCTAAGGACATAGGCAGACAAGGCTCTTTGGGTGAATCTGATATCTTTTATTAGACCAACTTAAGTTGGCTCCCTGACTTAAGTTGGTCTAACAAAAGGTATCAGATTCACCCAAAGAACCTTGTCTGCTTAACTCAGTTTTGCTCATGCCAAATACTTCCTCTCAGTGAGTACATCTACACATACAATTAATTTGCAGCAATAAACTCCAGCACATATCACGTGGGAGTTTATTGCTCCTGGGTGTGCCACTTGAATACATGCCCGAGACCATAGCATGTTGAGCGGGGTGAGTGTAGTCCCAGCTGCCAGAGAGCCTGGGGGCCAGCCTGCCAGTCCAGAACTACTCCGACCTGGCTCAATGTGCTCTGGAAGGGCTGGCTGCAGCATGAGGGTACTCCAGTGCAGGTTAGCTAGCAGGCCTTGCTCTGAAGCACCTTCATGTCCCGGCTAGCGGGATCAGCATCTACACATGCATTTCTGTGCATGAAAAAAACTCTGCCACAGGATAGTTCTTGTATTTACAAGTACTAACCTGCTGTGCAGTTTAGTAATTTCCTGCAGCCTAATAGGGCCACGTGTGGACACTGAGATGTTTACTGCAGAGCTAATTAGGTAACTGCAGTAAATGTCTTGTGTAGGCATGCCCAGTGTGACTAATATGCAGAAATATTTTAGGGCTTACTTGTGAAGAAAGGAGTTAATCAATATGTGCAATACCTGGACTGTCAAGTACCATAAGGTTTAATATTAACTTTAATTGGATAAGGATCAGGCCTTAAGTGGATTCAATCATCCCCTAGTCAAGCTTCCATCATTTCATTCCTTTCACTTGAATGAAAACAAAATAAACCCACAGTAAGATGGGCTTATATTAAAATTTATTTTTAAGCCCAGTTTTACATGTTCTGTTCAACAAATATAGCCAGACCTAACAAATTCTTGCTCTGTTTATACAAGGACTCCAGTGACTGGAGCCAGATTGCTTATGCAAGGAAGGAGTTGGTCCATGGAGAGTAAATCTTTAAAAGTCAGGTTACATAAGTTTTGTGATATGTTTATAATGCTTGCTGTACTGATGACTGTATTAATCTCATGCTTCATGACTTGCCCTGGAATCTTCAGAGGTCACCATCGTACGTTTCCCCCTCTGAATGCATTATCTGGCTACTTACTAGGTGCAGTGGACATTGGTCATGACTATAAATGGAAGATTGTCTGGGAATGCTGGTGCTCCTAATAGTTATGGGTGCCTGGCTTCTAGGTCTTCCACATGCACTTAAGAGTTAAACTAATTATCATGTTTTCAGTTGCGAGAGGGAACTTTGTGTCAAATTGACAAGGACCACTAAGGTTTTTCTCTTACCTCCCTTTTGTAGTATGGGATGTTCCACTTCTTCTTTATGGTCCAGTGGTATGATTTTTGTTTTTTTCCCTTTGTTATTTGGTGTGCTGTGATTTGTGGCTCTGGTGTGTAAGAGTGGATGTTCTTGTCTAACCTTTTGGCAGAGTTTGGTATATTGTTGCCTGCAAATACAAGGGACTAGACTCTGACATGGGAGGTTCCTTCCACTCTTGCATTCTAGTTAGATGCCTGATACCAAATCCATTTTAAAGCATCATTAAAACAACTTGCAGTTGTAGAACAAACCATGAAATCCCATAATACATTGCTGTTACTTTTCAGTTTAGAAAGGCTTACCCTAAATCAGATTTCCTCCAGCGGATATTGATAAATGGATGTGCTTGGCAGCACCTTCTCTTGCTGTGACCATGAGACAATGATTCATCATCTATAATCAATCTTCATGTCTTCCCATATATAAGCCCTAAAATTCTGGACAGAACTAAGCCAGAACTCCGAATATTGGAAATTCTTATTGTACTTTAAGTAATTACCATCAAAGGCTGTAATATTAAAACACCAGATGGTGAACTCCATTATTTATGCCAGATAACTTTGTTGCTTTTTTTTATTATTCAGAAGTAATTTATTTTCATGATGCTACTTTGAAGACTGTAAAAACACTTCTTCAAGTTTTTGGCCTAAAACAGTATTTCAGAACCAGGGCTCATAATATGTTGTCATCAACAATATGCACATAAGAGATTATAGGTGATCATTAGTGAAGATTGTCAGATACCTTAGTTTGGTCTTTTTTAGTCTATTTTAAAAATGCGTTGCCAGTTACTATTAAGTCAGAGAAAAACCTACCCTGCCCATGTATGAATTAAAATAAAGTGTACGCTCTCCAACAGAAATTATATTCAGCAGCATCATCGCCAAGTCCAGATCTTTTTAATTAGAGATGAAACAGCTGGTAATATACATGATCAAATGCAAGGTGGGGGTGGTGGGGAAAGGAGGGAAAGCAACTGGCTCCCTGACAGCCTGCTCAGGGGAAGCTGCCAGGGATACCTGCAGGGTCCGGCTTGCAGCTGCTATCCACCACTGCCACTTGTGGGCACTGGTGACAGGCCTGCAGTGATGGCAGGGGCTTTTCAGGCAGTGGAGATCAGCAGCTGATGGAGCCTGTAAGGAAGCTGAAAGGAATTGCTGCTTAACTCAGGCAGATGGCATGAGGTGTTGTTACTAATTAAGCGTAATTCACAGTTGAATTAGGGAGATAGGCTCCTATCATTATTGATATTGCTTGATTTAAAAAAAAAAAAAGCTATTCAGAAAAGCAAAGGAATAGAATGATCTGTGGTATAGTTTAACTAGAGAGCAAAGTTTTTGCTATTTTTTTAGCCTGGTTTTGAAGGCATTTAGAAAATTAAAAACAGATTTTTAAAAATACATGCATACACTTACCAAAATGGCGTTTGCAGTCCTGTGGCAGTTGTACATACACATTGCCTGTTATCCGGTAATTGACTTACACAGCAATTGCAATAACTGAGCATAAATTTTGTGGGCATGTCTTTACACAAGTAATTTCTAAATATCTAAGCAGAAATTATGATTGAGGAAGAGTTATGTTAAACTTTGTAAATACTTTTAAATGTTAGACAATACTGTAGACTGTTCAGTTCAATTGAGTAGTTTTCTGTTTGGTTTAATATATAAAACTTCATGTGTGAAGGCAGCACCACCCACAGATTCTAAACTGAAAAATAAAAAGCCTATCTCAAGATAGGCAGGGTATATTTTGCTATATTTCCTTTTCAGCTCAACTAAATGATTATGCAAATCGAGAGCACAGAGCTGGGCATCCTTATTAGTTTCAATAACCACCAATGTCTAAAAATAATCTCTCTCGCATCTCTCTCTCACTGGTAACAAATTATATCATACTCAGCCCCTGGGAGGGCCACATACTTTTGCACTTTTTAAATTATTTGTATAATAAAGTTTTTTTAAAGTCACTCTGCCCCCCCTCAAAAAAAACCCCAAACCAAAACAACCTAAGCAAGCAAACAAACAAAAAACAACAATCCCTTTCCCTGGCATTAGCTAGTTTGGCATTTATACATTATACAGTTTGAAGGCTTAAGCCTAAATCTGGTCCCTTGTACTCTGACAAAATAACAGACTTACGTGTAAGAAACGACAAGGAGGAAAGGGGAAAGAAATCATTCATCCTCTTAGCTGTAGAGTATGCTGTACCTTTTACTCCAGCCCTGAGGTCCAAAGATCTCCTGTCCATTGCGGGTAGAGGAGGACATGATGATTGGCCTGACACTCCCTACATCTCTCTCCTAAATCGTATATCTCCTTTCTTTACTCTATACTTCCAAAGATAAGGATTTAAAAGTGGAATATTTGGGTATAAAGGCATCATATCTTTCTCTTCTGAGTTCTCAGTCCTGTGATGTGCTGTATGTGTTCGGATCCAAATCTGAAATGAGAGCTGAGAACGTTTAGCACTTCACAAAAGAATGTAGTGGGTCACAGAATGAGCCCCGTTCATAGTGGCACAGATTTGTTGTTACCGCACAAGCATACTCTTAGATCAGGTTTCATAACCCTATCTGCCCTGTGCTATACATTATACTTAAATGGTAGTTATGGTCTTAAAACATTCCCAAACAGACTAAACAAAATATGATCTCATTGAGCAGGAACAGTTCAATCATGAGGAATTTTCCTGCCTGATATGAGTGTTTAGTTTTAGGAGTCATGCAATTCTTTTTATTACAGAACTGTTTTTTTTTTTTCCCTTAATGTAAAGTATAAGGTCAAACAGTGTATGAAGAGAGAGTGCAATGATGATCTGATTCCTACTGGGAATAATTTGTACATCTACATTTTAAAAAAAAAAGCTAAATTAAAGTTTTCCCCACGTGAGTTTGTGTAACTGACTATAGCCAAGAATGTATCGTGTTGGCCAGTTTCATCTCCGTTCCTTTGCCTTTTTGGCACATCCCTGATGAAATAGCTGAGGTTGGGCAAGAGATATGCATTGTGAATTTGGGGTTTAATGAACATGAGAAGTACAAAACAGACAGTTTTGGCAGATGTCATTGTAGCACTCTAAAATGTTTGTTTTTCTCCTATTGAGGCTGCACACAGGGTAAAAATGTTTTGTGAATTTGTCTCTCACTAGAATTCCACTTTCTATTTATATGATCAATGTTAGGTCACTTGTTTATAGCTGAATTAATGGCCTTGTTTATACAATGTTTTGCTTTTAAACATGTAGTTCTTCTCTCATTCCACTTTCAGGTTAGGCTTTGGTTTCCTCACAGTAATCACAAATGAAACACAATCTGTTGAGCATGTGTCTGATATTCCAGACCTTATTGGAGTTCACTATGTGTATGAAATATAGCAATATGTGGAAGCACTTATACAAACTGTGGTCACAGAGTCATTCTTTTTTCTCATCATAACTTTCCATTCTGCCAAGACATTTTTTGGCAGTTTTTAAAAGCTTCACTCCATTAAAAATGTTATAGGCCAAATGGTTTTTGGAGATTTTACTGGGGGCACTACTTAAACAAAGGAAGGGTTGGGCACTAAAAAACTTTCAGCAGAACTTCTTTGCATAGAACATAGCTGATATCAGGAATAAAATAATCAAAGGCAAGAAACAGAAGTAGTAACTAGGAAACCAGTTTCTGAAAAGGGTCAGAAAAGCATATATAAAAATACTGCAGAGTTACAATTATAGTCTCAAAAGAAAAGAAATGAGTTACAGTAAACTGGTATCCCACTTCCTTATATATTTTTTAATAAATAGTTTATTTAATGTGTTTCTTCCGCCCCCCTCCCCCGAGTGCTTATGACTTGATCACAAATAAAATCATTGTATAACATAGACTGTCTAAAACTCCTGTTTTTATCATTGTTGATGACACTGACTATCCCTGAAGAATTGAAAAATATTAGCTTCAGTTATCCAAGTGTTTCTCTGTGGTTTATCTTTCCAATAACATGACAGCCTCATCTAAACTAGTTTACAAAATGTTCATATGCTAATATTTAAATGACACAGTCTTGCTTTAAAGAAAGAATGACCTAAATTTGATCCATACTTTTTTTCCTAGAATAATTTATTCTTTGAGAAGATGAAGAGTGGACCAAAAAGAAGAAAAAGGGTAAGTCAGAATACAACTTGGTTTCATTTTCATATCTTTTGTGGAGTGGAGTTACAATGCTACAGTCTCTGAAAATCCACTGAGTCTATTTTATTTTATTTTATTTTATTTTATTGCATATTGGTATATTACATGCAGAAGATGTGTTCAGGTGAAAAGCTTTAATATAAAATATAGCAATGTTAGGAGCCTTCATATTAACTTTTTTACTTTTTTGGAAATTATTTTTAATAACCAAGATAATTTCTTTCAAATTGAAGTTTTAAACATTTCTGCCCTTGAACAGATATGAGGTCAATCCAGTGCTAATGCTAGATCCCCATGGTTCATATTCTGCCTTTTAACTACATGTTCCAGTTCTAGTGATGTCAGTGAACTTACTCCAGATTTACTGCAGTGTAAGAAGAGAACCAAGCTCATGGTTCTAGGTCTGGCTGTTTCACATACACAGATGGATAGGTATTCTTTCTGATGATGACCTTTTAAAGAGATGTACAGTCACCATGTAGGATTTTTACACCCTCTAACTTGCTAAACTCTCACTGCTTTCACTGCTTCTATCCTCGTCACAGTCTCTGTCGTTAGATTTTGAATTTGGTGCAAGAAGAAAATAGGGCTTTACAATTAAAGTGTGCATCTACACTGAAAAGTTACTTCATAAAGTATGACATCAAGGAGCTACAGGTTTACTGTAAACTGAACAGACTTGGTATGGAATAAGTGAAACACAAATGAAGATTGTTTTTCTAACTTCTTACCCTGCAGTCTCTGCCAAGAAGTGAGGAGACAAGTTGAGTTTTTCCTAGTCATGCATTGCCAGCAATAAACATACTGCAATCAGAACTTAGTACTCAGTCCTAATGATTATTACAGGGTCCAGAATAGGATCCACCTCCTTCTATATTTGTGTTGGTTTTGCTGTGCTAATAGAAAATAAAATAAAGTACCAACTTAAATCAGTACAGTAAACAGATGTGACTTTGGGAGCAGGTATATGGAATTTTTTTAAATGAAGTAGGACAGCACTTTAAGGTCAGATGAGTGAAATAGTTACTTAAGAAAGAAAAGAAAAGAAAGCTTTGCGCTGTCTCATTTGCTCAATATATATATATGAACAGGGAGGAGCAGGTGCTTTACTGGCTCAAGTAGTAATCTGGGACTTGGATGACTAGTTTCCATTTGCCTGCCTTGCATCAGATTGATTGTGAGACCTCAGATAAATCATTTGGGGCTAAAGCTGAAAAGAGTAGGTCATGGTAGCACCATGCAAAGATGCTGTGTATGTGTTAACTCAAGAACTGGAAGCAGTATAGCCACACGAGTGTCATCTAGAAATGTCGATACTGGAATATTTTTTGGGACCACAAAAACAGAAGACAAATAAAGGTTTGTCATTTCTTTCCAGAAAAAAGAAACATTTGTGGGCATTCCTCTGGCAAGAGGTGGGGTCCTGGATCTAGTCCTTATTTCCAGGACTGTTTGTGTTTTACTCCCGTGACTCTTTAATCAAAATGCACAAACAGTCTCTGAAGCAGGTACCATAATCCAGACCTCCAAACCTCCAACCCTGGAACTACACATTCCCTCTCACTTGGAGAGGGAGATGTGGATTTGAAACCCTACAGATGGAGGAAGGCTTGAGTCTCCCACTTCCTATGATAGTGCTCCAGGCATTAGATTGTTGTCCTAAAGATGGGTGCCAACCCTCTTTTTTGCCTGTGAATCCCAGGCCTACTCTAGAAAATTTAGAGTCCCCAATTCTGTTGTCTTACAACAGCCACCGTCACCAAACACACCATAAGATATCATCTTACTGGCCTTTGGCCTTCCAAGCAAGTGTGTTGCAGGATAAAAGGGAAGAGAACTAAGAAATGAGGGTGGGGAGGAAAAGGAGAGCATTACCTTCAACCTAGCATGCATTTTTCTCTATTCACTGTGGCTTTTTTATCTGCATACACCATCTTTCAAACACCATCAGCTGTTGTTGCTTTGTCCACTATCAGCATCGGTTCCAAAGAGCTTTAGAGTATGATTGAGTCCTTCCTCTTCATGAAACGCATCATATTTACATATCTGTACCACCTGGAAGAAAACAAAGTACAGCTGTAGTATTAGGCTTCTTTGGATAAAGAATGTAGACAGTAGACAAAATGTGGATCCCTACAGCTAATAGCTGGGAATCCATGGCTTGTGAAAATTTTGGACACAGAGTGGTAAGACTGAATTGTCCTTGAATGACCAGCAGTGGCTGAAAAACTTTATATATGAAAGGCCCCTTTTCTCAATCCACATGTGAAGCTTGTCCCTGTGCAGCAGATGCAGCAGGAGATGATAGCAACTTTACCTGTTGAGAAGTGAGTGGTGATCACTGTGTGGAATTTGGCCACCCCAGGTTGCTTCTGGTCAGTTATGAATCAGCTGGACATGAGCAAGCTAAATGTGCCTGTCGTGGTTGTGGCTTTGTTGTATTGTGCACAACCTGAGTAAGGCAAAAAGTATAGTGAACATACATCTTGCTTTCACCAGGACAGTCCTCATTTTAAACACCTGTCCTGGATGTCCTATCATTTGTGGCTTTTGTCCCATTTTCAGCAGAGACCACTTGTAGTAGGACATCCCATGTGGGATTTTTCCAAGGGCTTGATGAAGGAGACTGGATGCAGCATGCTGGCTGTGTAGATTAATGAGCTTCTGTAGCATGCCTGCCTACTACTGGACGATATGTATCATCTGCCCCTGCATACACTTGCTGGCTTCCTGTTCCTTCTGCAACTGCTAGAGCATATTCTCCTTCCACTGCTGTCATAGGCACTGCTCCCACCACATCATCTCAGTGCATGAAAACTGGTGCAATCCCTAGAGCTGTCTGTGGCAGGAGAGAACAGGGTTTTGCCAGGGAGCACTTTTTATTTTTGCCTGTGCTTTTATCAATAAGGCAACAGTTAAAGCCATGTTTTCCCTTTCAGTACTGCAGGGAAGTACACAGGCAGGGAAGGTGTGAAATTCAAGCTTGATGGTAAAGCAGCAAATGGGGGAGTTCTGAAATGGCCAGGTACTTTTAAGCAGAAACTGGCTTCCAGTATGTTAAAAAAATTTGGACAACATAGTCCAAAACAACATCCAGAGTGGCTGACTATGAGCTTGCACTAAGTGAACTGCTAAGGCCCATCAGAGACATGGTAATGTCTATATGTGCCTTCTGCTGACTTCCATATGATGTTGGAGAGCTTCTGTCAGTTGGTAGAGATGATGAAACCTGGCTGTAACAGCAGCAGTGGTTCTGCTACTTTTGAGGGAATTTGTCATGCAGACTTTTACCATGAAAACTTGAGTTTTGCCAGCATGACATTTTAGTATAGATCGGGCCATAGCCTACAGGTACCTAGGTTTGAAAAAGAGGTGGGATTTCAGGTACCACCTCACTCTTCTGTACTTTCTATTGGCTAGCTTAGGCATTCCTTGTTTGGTGTGATGAATCGCATTTCTAGGCATCTGTACCTCCCTTTTACAGGTGTAACCCGAGTGGTACTCCGACAGGTACCCCCTCTTCATTTGAAGGGATCAGAGCAGGTGCACAAGTGCTGTGGGTTGTGTAGGGACTCTCCTCCCCCTATAGAGCAGAGCCAGACCACCACTGGGGCCTTAACCGTATATCTTTTAATGAGAGAACAATACTGGGAACATAACCAGTATAAACCAGGGGGTATAGGGGACACTACAATGCCCCAAGGGGGCAGGATTCAACAAAGGTTAGACACTTACAATCATAGACATATTCATCCAATTGACAAAAGACAGGGTTAACCAACATGTAAAACACAAACAGCAGAACAAACAATTCGGGTTGGTGAAATATAAAAGGTACAAAATCCAAAATGTCAAATGACAAGGAATATAGGGCCTAGGTACCTGGAGGGGGAGAAAGGGGGAAAACACAATAGCCCCTTTCTACTGCAAGAAGATTTTCTCCCTGTTAGCTTATTCACCCCAAATCACCCAAACTAGGGCTTGAACTTAGAGCTCCCATGTAGTAGGTAGAAACACTACCACTACCAGTGCTGGCACTACACCTGGCTGCTAGGGGTCTTGACCTTCCTGGAGCCCCAGCTTCATATCGAGTTGCCTGGCCTCTTGCTGGAGGAGCTGGAAGCAGAGCTGGGAACCTCTCAGATCGCTGCTCAGATCCTTGCTGGAGCGGGGGAGCCTCCTGCTGGCCACAGCCTCTCGTAGGTGATTCTGGAGCTCAGCAGGGAGCCTCTCTTGCCGGCCACACACTGCACTGCTGAGGGTCCAACTGTGTCTGCAGGTCCCACTCCTTCAGGCTCTTCTGGGGCAACTGCTCCTGCTCCGCTGGCCCAGCTCTTTGAATCTCCTGCCTTGTGGTCCCTCACTGGTCTCCCCTGAGTCAGCCATGCTGCCCCTTTTATCCCCCTCCAGGTGACCCAAGGGGCCAATCAGGGGACATGGAGGGTGAGTCTCTGGGGCGTGATTGGTGAGGAAAGGGAATCCCAAGTCCTCCAATCATCTTTTACCCCTTCAAAACCCCTGGGCCAAATCATTACCAGATTAGTGAGGAAAGGGAATCCCAAGTCCTCCAATCATCTTCTGCCCTTTCAAAAACCCTGGGCTAAGTCACTGCCAGCTACCCCATCACACAAGGAACACAGGTTCCTAACTTGGGTTTGTGAATCTTACCACTAGCTGCCTTAAAGGTAGGCACTGGACTGCTCAGCATAACCACGCATAATTCTCTTTATGAATTTCATGCCAAGTGTGTGCATATGTACGCGTGAGTGGACACATGGCTGTGTGCATGCATCTATAATGTAAAAAGCCTAGCTGCATTTGTTACTTACAGGGTTACCAAATCCAACTCCACCTTTAGGTGGCTAAAATGTTCATTTGCTGGGATGGGATCTGATTTGCAATCTGAACAATTGTGGCTCCTGCCATACCACATGTGCATGGCAGGAGACATGATTGCATGATTGGGGAGCAGA